GCAGGGCATGTCAGCAAATGGCTTCTTCCTTCCTTTACCTGGCTGGGGATGTGACCTGTCCTGGGGACAGGAGGGACTGCGCCAGCCTGGTGACTGACAGCATCCTCCCACGAAACTCTGCATCTCCCTGGCTAATGATGCAATTAGCAAACTGGGGAGGACCACCATGACACCCCCACACACACTTCCCCGAGTGCTTTACCCGTCTTCAAGCCTTTCACCAGGAAGGTGGCCTGAGCCAGGAAGTTCTCGTCGCTGAACATGTCCTCCTCGTACACCACGAAGCGGAGGAAGGCAAAGTCGGGGTTGCTGACCTGAAAGTGGAACTGCTTCGGGGTCCAGAGAGGGTTCAGGCCGTTGTCCGCTAGTCAGAAAACACTGCCGTCAACAGGCAGTCCCCACCGAGCCCCATGCCCCACGGCTCACCCCACAGTCAGGAGTGGCGGCACCTCCCTCTCTCTTCCCTTCGCTAACCCACTCACCCACAATCTCAGTTTTCTGCTTGGCGTTGTCATACTCAGCCCCAGACACCTCCACCTCCACGAAAGGACAAACGATTCCCCTTCCATTTTTGGGAAGGTGCCGGGCCCCCAGGACCTGGGCAGAGAGCAGGAGAGACTTGGTAAGAGAAAGGAGCAAAGGAAAAAAAAAAACGTGTTGGCATATGAAGACATTTTCTTTCCAAATAAATCACCCTGGCTCTACTAATTGGAGAGAAGAGACACTGACAGCCAGCCCAGTGCAGCCTGCCCCTTGGAGAAAAACACCTCCCACCCCTGGAAGCTGCTATGGTGTTACTGACCACCAGTTTGACCTGTAAGGGATAAAAAAAGGCAGCTGAACTGCCCCAGGTTCCTGTCCACCGCCTGCACAGCCAGGCCTGGGCCACAGCATCCCCCTCGGGCCCGCCAAGCTGCAGCTGGGCTGCCAAGCCGCGCTGCCTTCCCCTGCCTGGAGCTACGCTGGACACCCCCTTTCTCTGCCGAAACGTCTCGGCCCTCTTGCCTTGGCATGAGGACGGAAAGGACCTGCTCTCCGCTGCTGCTCTGCCTCCTGTTCACAGCACAGTCTGTACTCAACTCCAGCGACAACCTGCTTCCTTGCAGGAGAAAGAAATCCCCCCTCCCTCTTGCCAGGGGCCATATGTCGCTCCAGCGTGCTGTCGGCACGCTGCTGTTGCAGGGGAAGGATGTGCTGCCAATGCTGGATCATGTGCTTTGAGTCATGCTGGGCTCGAGACGGCTTCTCCATCCGTGAAAGCTGGCTTTGGTGGGGACATCGGGCAGTTTCGCCAGCGGACAAACGGCTGGGCCCGTCTCTTAAAGGAGACGGTGACAGGCTACGGCACAGCGACTCTTGGCACCTGCTGGTTGCAGCTGCATCCCAGGATGCAGGAGTTTGGAAAATAGACGGGAATTTTTAGGGAGACAGTGGACATGGGGTTGATGGTGCAGATGGGACGTGATGAGGTGTCCCGCCTGAGCCAGGCAATGGCTCTCTCAGGTGGGAACACTCCAAAACAGAGGTGGCCTCAGAGGAGCTGCAGTTTGTGCGTGTTGCCAGAAACCTGGCTGAGACGGAGGGACTTGCAGAGGACACTGCCGGCCCACACATAGTCAGCTCGGCTCCGAGACCACTTGGTATGCCTGTACAGGCTCATCGGACAGCCACCGGTCCAAGCACGAGAACCATCGGGTTTGGCACAGCCATGGCCTTGCCATCCCTCCAGGAATTTTGTCTGGCGAGCTGTCCCATTGCCCTGCAGAGCTTCTGCCATGCGGCTCCGTGAGGTGACATGGGAACAGCCCAGCCCCAGTACCGCCATCCGTGAAGAAAAAGATCAACGAGCACCTGCAGTCCTCCGGGACTCCCCACCAGCAGCCCCCCGTCCTCTTATCACCAGCAGTGCAACACAGAAATGGGCTCTGACCCAGCCTGCTCCGACCTCAAGCATCTTCCTGAGGGGACACAGCAAGGTCGGTGATGTTGAGCCTGGAGCATCTCGGCGACAAGGAGGGGACACGGTGCAGCTCTTGTGTTACCCCGCTGGGAGCCATCCTGTTCTCGGGCAGTCCCGGCCAAGCTCCAGGGACAGGGATGCCACCTCTGCGGCTCGTGGATGCCACCTGCCGGCACTGGGCCTGGGTGGGAGAGGGTCCCGGGGGGACCACCCAGGGATGCTCCTGCTACTCCTCTCCAGGCGCCCAGGGAGGTCGGTGGCACTTCCCTCAGCAGCACCCATGGGTCTCCCCAAGCCTGCACTGCAGGACAGCTCTTAAGCAGGGGCTGAGGAGTTTGGTGAGGAGCATATGTAGACAGAGGCCAGGAACTCGGAAAAAACGTTATCTCACCCCAAGCTCGGTATAACTGCCTAGATCTGAACCCACGCTGGGATGAGGGACTGACCTCAATGGAGATGGAGAGCGGCTCAGTCCCCCGCAGCGTGCTCTTGTCGAAGGGGTCGAAGATGTCATCCCGCATGTTGGTTGGTTGCAAGACATACCCACACTGGCCGCTGGACATGAACAAGGCCTGGTTCATCTGCATGGGCTTGTCTGCAGAGCACAGGCAGGAGATGGAGGGAGGAGTCCCTGTGCCCCTTCCACAAGCCTGATCACCTGGGGTATCGGTGCCTCGTGCGAAGCCCTTTGGAAGGGGACCTGGCCCATCCCTTGGCAATGCCTCTGGCAATGCCTCGTGTGCCATGGTGCCTGCGGCCTGTGTACGTGCGCAGGCTGCCGGGTGACTTTCTCATGCACGATCTGCCCAACTAACCAGTGCTCCATGGGTCACCCCCTTCTTTTCCTCCCTCTCCTTTCAGCTTTCCTTGTGCTGGCTCCAGCATTTGCCAAACGGCCCTGTGAAATACTTGAATTCACAAAAGGAATGAAAAAGCCAGCGGGAAAAAAGAGGCAGGTAGTTTTCTGGTGGGTTGGTGAGCTGAACAGGCTCACAGCAGGGTTTGGCAAAGGCCAGCGAAAGGGGATGGCTGGACTGCATGGCCGGAGGGAAAGGTGAGCAGAACAGCGAGCTTGACTCGGACCCTGCAGCCAGCCGGCGTCCCAGGGCTGGTGCTGCACCGTCCCCTTTGGTACACCCCCTGCCCACTCTGCCTGCTGCCAGGGACCCTGGAGGAACCCCCTGCTTCCTCTCCGTTTCACCTTGTTCTCATGGCACCACAAGCCCCTGGCTAAGCCCAGGTCAATCCAGCCCTCCGGAGCACATCCCCGCTGCGGCAGCCGCGTGCCTGGACATGAACGCCAGGTCCCGCTCCCTGCACCCGGCACAGAGACTGCGGACCCCCTCCTAGACCCACCGTGTGCCAGGAGTGGGTTAGCAGGGCTGCCAGCAGCTGGCTG